ATAAGTTGGAGGGGGGAAGGAGGAGCAGGAGGAGGGCGAGGAGGAGGAGGACGAAGAGGAGGAGGAGGAGGAGGAGGAAGAGGAGGAGGAAGAGGAGGAGGAGGAGGAGGACCCCCCCCTCCAACTTGTGGTGGTGGTGGTGGTGGACAACACGCCCAGCGTGCTCGAGGCGGGGGCCCGGTCCCCCCCGCAGGCGGGGGCCGGCGGAGCCCAGCGGCTGCGGGAGGGGCCGACGACGGCCTGCCGTTGTCGGCAGCTGCGCGCATCTCTACGCCCGCCCCTCCGCCTCCTCCTCCTTCTTCTCCTCCTCCTCCTCCTCCTCTCCTCCTCTCCTCCTTCTCTCCTCCTCCTCCTCCTCCTCCCCTCCTCTCCTCCCTCCTCCTCCTCCCTCCTCCCCTCCTCCTCCTCTCCTCCTCCTCCTCCTCCTCCTCCTCCTCCTCCTCCTCTCCTTCTCTCGTCGAGCGTTCCCGGCCTCGCGTTCCCCCCCCCCCCCACACCCCTATCCCCCTCTCTCTATTCATATCCCTCTCTGTCTTTTTGGTTTGTCTTTCTCTCTCTCTCTCTCTGTCTCCCTCTCTCTATCTGTCTCTCCACGCCCCCATATCTCCATACATCTGTACATTCACATAGATGCATAGGGTCTGCACTTCGTATCTGTGTATATCGATATATATATATATATATATATATATATATATATGCATGTATACATATATATATATATATTTCCCTGCTCCTTTCTCTACCTGGTTCCTCTGTCGCTGGGTTCCGCATGGAGGGTAACACAAATGTCGTGTCGACGCGTCTGAGAGCCCGGCGCGGGTGTTCCAGGTTGGATGCCACCAGTGGCCCATAGCCCGCCAATCTGCAACGATCTGGAGGTCGAAAAGCCGTCGATCGTTCAAGGTTGAACGATCCATCCGGTGTCAGAGACTAGCGCCAGAGTCCTCACGACACGAACCTGCCATACTTTCGTGAAGCATGTGGGGCATCGGCAGTCCAAATAGCCTGCCCGGGTAAGGGTCTTGCGGGGGCTGGTTCGGGGCCCTGCACGCATGTCTCAAGACCTAGCGTCAGGCGACGCCTCCATCCGCCCGCGCTCTCGCCAAAGGGGTCCCTATGATTGCAGAGTCTAGGTGCGAGTGATATGGTGGGATCGTTCGTTGAGGAATGTGGCCATGAGGCTTCAGACCGTGGAGAATTCCTTGCCTGATCAGGGCGGCGGTGGTACCCATGGCCAAACCTCAAGAGGAGTTCCACTGGCTTTCAAACCCTAGTTTCCTTATCCAATGACCTCTTGATTCCTCATCCAATGCCGTCACCTTACTGGATGGATGGCTGCACGGGAAGTTGACGGGGTCCAGTCTGGTCTCTCGTCGAGGGCGGGGGTTGGACTGGGGTCAGGGTCCGTGCCCTCCCGAACTTGCCGAACATGGTATAGTGCCCACTCCCATCGGTGTACCGGGGCCTTCTTGGCACACCGAGGGGGGAAGGGGGGATCTGAGGGGGTCCCCGCCGGCTGCTCGCCAGTAGAAGGCGGATGTCCCAGTCCGGGGCCTGTCGATAGTAGCCCCGTCTGCACGGGTTGCCCCTCCTGCTCCTCCTCGCACGGTCATGCCCTTTGTCCACCGCCCCGGTGCGGAATCGCGGCCGCGCCGCCCAAGGCGGGGGGGGGGTGCGAGCCCGCGATCTGCCAGCAGCCGCGCACTACAGTGGCCCGACACTGCATGTGCCGCGGCTCGCCTCTCGCACAAGTGGGAAGACGCAGGACATCAGATTCGAGCCTCCTCCTCCTCCTCCTCCTCCTCCTCCTCATCCCCCTCCTCCCCCCCTCGTCCTCCTCCTCCTCGCTCCTCCTCCTCCTCCTCCTCCTCCTCCTCCTCCTCCTCCTCCACCTCCTGCTCCTCCTCCTCCGCCCTCTTCCTCCGCCCTCCTCCTCCCTCCTCGATGCGCCGCGGCTCGTACCCAATGCCAGTGGGAAGACGCAGGGCCTCCCGAGGAAGGCGCCGCCTGCCGCGCCCGACCTCGTGCCGCGTTGGAGACCGATCGCAACCACTTCGGACCGATCGTCGACCACTTCGGAATGATCACAACCAGTTCCGATCGGTCCGAAGTGGTTGCGATGTTTTTGGATCGCTTCAATAAGGTTTCGATTGTCGCCTAGCAGCTAATTAGGACTGTTTCCGCGCCCCGGACAGCTTCTGTCTCCGCCTGCGCCTTCGCTTGCGGACGCGACCAACAAATAAGGTTTCGATTAAGGGGGAGACCCTAAGAGCGCTTCTGGATGCACTGAACTCCCTTAAGCCGCCCAGTGTGAATCTGAAAAAGCGGCTGCGATCGGTGATCACCGACGGCCGACCATGATCTCGGTTATACACATGTACTTGAGCTCGAACGTGGCCATGACCCGTATACGATCCGTATGTGGTTCGTATACGATGCTTGTGTGATTCGTATACGATTTCTATGCAATCCGTATACGATTCCGATGTGATTCGTATACGATTCCAATGTGGCTAGTTTGATGAATTCGCCAGACTCCGAAGAGGTCTCTTCGGGAATCCTAAGAATTCCGACGGGTCCTACAGATTCCGAGATTCCTGAGAGGGCCTCTCCTGGAAGGATCCCTCAGGAATTTGAGAGCTTCTACGGATCCTACCACTTTTCTGATTCTTGGGAGGGCCTCCTAAGGAGTCCTAGGAATTTCCAGGGATCCTACCAATCCTCCGATTCCTGAGAGGGCCGCCTAGCCAATCCTAGGAATTCCCAGGGATCCGACCAATTGTTCAGATGCCTGGGAGGGCCTCTTCGGGAACCCCCGGAATTCCAAGGGATGTTACCAGTTGCCAGATTCCTTAGAGGGCCACCTAGGCAATCCTAGGAACGTGACGGGACCCCACCAATTGCTCAGATTCTTGGGAGGGCCTCTTTGGGAACCCCGGGAATTCCAGGGGATTTTATACATTGCCAGATTCCTGAGAGGGCTTCTTCGGCAATCCTAGGAATTCCCAAGGATGCGACCAATTGCCAGATTTCTGAGAAGGCAGAGAAGCCTCTCAGAGAAACCTTTCTGAGGCCTCAGAGAGGCCTCTGAAAAAAAAGGCTTCAGAGAAGCCTCTAAAAAAGGCCTCGCTGAGGCCTTTCAGATGCCTCGCTGAGAATTTTGTTGTTCAGAAGCTCTGCAGAAGCTCTTCAGAAGCGCTGCAGAAGCTCTGCAGAAGATCTGCAGAAGTTCTTCAGAAGCTCTGAAGCTCTGCAGAAGCTCTGCAGAAACTCTAGGGAAGCTCTGCAGAAGCTCTGCAGAAGTTGTGCAACCGTGCTCTCCACAAAGATGCGTATAGGAATCCCTCAAGCTGTGATCAGTCCGTTTCCAGCGGCTATCATCAGACCGAAGTTGTCTTTGAACTGTCCGAAGTGGTTCTAATCGGTCTTGTTCTCGACCTCTGCCCCCCGCCGGCCCTTTGCAGAGCCTCGCCGCCGCCGCGCCCGCCGCCGTGCACACCCCGCGCGCCCCCGGCTCCGACCTGGAGCCGCTGCGCAGGGCAGCGGCGCCAACGGCTCCCCGGGCGGCCCCCCGAGGAGCTCGCCCCACCGGGGGCGCCACCTGAGCGACGCGGAAAAAACGGGGCCGTCTGCTCCGACAGTGGCGCGTGAGCTGCTCGCGCAAGGTCGCGCGGAGGCGCCCTCGTCTCCAAAGTGGCGCTCCGCGCGGGCGGCCCGCGCAAGCTGCGGCGCCAGGTCGCCACGCCGTCTCGCGCGAGACCCGCTTTTGAGCGTCGCCCACCTTAGTGCAAGTTGGAAGGCGCAGGACAGAGGTGTGAACACCACCACACGCCGCCCCCGTGGACAGAGCAGGTCGCCGATGGTCGGCGGCGAGCGAGGGGGGGGAAACGAGAGGGATGAGGCCTTCTCAGAGGGCGGTGGGATTTCTCAGAAGGCCTCGGGCGGCCTTCTGAGCAGTTTTTTTTGCGTCTGCGGGCAAGGGCTGAGAAAAGCTTCTCAGAAGGCCGGGGGGCTTCTGAGCCTTCTGAGAAGGCCTTCTCCTTCCCACTCTCCCCCGGGCTCGCCGCCGAGATGAGGGCCGACGGGACAGATGCGGCAGGTACACCTCAGGCGATGCTCAAGAAAACCTAAGTTTTCGGCCAGAGTCTCGATTATTCTTAATGTTTCAATGTAAACCCTAAGATTTTGATAGAAGTTCTGGGTTTTTATTCAAATTCTGAGACTCTGAGTTTCTTAACCCATGATTTCTTAAGCATTTCGCAGGGTGTACGTACCCCAAGCAGGGTCTGCGCCTCCACCGCATTCGTCCCCGCCTCGGAGCACGGGGCGGAGGCTGAGTATGTGAAGGATGACGAGGATCGGGGGAGCGTAAGACCCGGGTTTGCCAGGACTCGGGTTCGCCATCGTTTTTTGACGACCGCGACTCGGATTTTGACGAGCAGGAGTTTTGTGGGATGTCTGCAGCGGGAGGCCTCGTCAAAATGCAGGCTCGGCCTCGTCATTTTTGTTGACGACCTCGTCGGGGATTTCCGAGTCCCCCGTACCCGGGTCTTACGTCTCCCCGAGAGGAGCAGCAGCATCGGGGAAGAAGGAGGGGAGGGACCTGGCTCAAGGGAGGGGCGGCCACCCTGACTCCAACACTTGGCGTTTGCTAGACGCTCCTGGGCGTTTGCGAAAAAAAGCCCTGCCGTCTTCGAATCCCTTCCTGGGGTGTGTTTTTACTGAGCGGCTTCGCTTGCCTGGTCTGCTTTTTTTTATGAGGGCGGGTTCTCTGCTCGCCGCTGGCTTGGCATCGCTCGGACGTGTGCATTTTTCCTTCGGCGAGGGCCATCGAGGAGCATCCTTGATCACTTGGCGCAAAAACCACGCACGAAACCGAAAAAAGCACAGGGAAATGGACGTCCGAGCGATGGCCCGCTGGGGGCGGCGGCCGTGGTGTGCACCACCCCTCCCGGCAGCTGTCTGCGCCGAGGGCCGGCAGCCGCCGGCACGGCGCCATGGCGGCGGCGGCCGCGCCGGGCCCCAGCGCGGAGCCCGCGGGGGGTCGGGGGTCGGAGGCCCCGGGCGACGTGAGCAAGCAGCCTCTTCTGTGCCCCCGCGGCCTGCTCCTGATTGCCCACCCTCCACGTCCCTACCGCTCCCTCAACATCTCTCTTTCCCTCTCATGATCTCTCTCTCTCTCTTTCCTTCTCTCTCTCTCTCTTGCTCTCTCTCCCTCTCTCTCTCTCTGGCTCTCTATCGCTCTCTCTCTCTCTCTCTCTCTTTCGCTCTCATCCCCTTCCGCTTCCCTGAGCTCCTAGGGGCCATGCTCGTGTCCCGCTGCTGCTGCTGCCACTGCTTTTGTTTCCCTTCCTGCCCTTTTCAAGCAGGTCTCATGTAGCTCCAGGCGAACTGTAATCAGTCCATGGTTCCTTCCCTGTATGCTTGCAGCCCACTGCATGCATGGCCCACGTTTGCCAGCCCAACATACATCTCAAGTATTTACTGTGCAGTTCGATTGGGTACCGGTCCTCTTCATAGTGCTCTGGCCAGCGGATACCATGCAAGCTACAGAGTCCCACGGATGTCCCAAGCGGATTCAAATCCTGGTGCAGATGCCGAGTAAGCCCCGGGGCGTACACGCGTCCAGTCAGCCAAGAACCTCGGTCCTCGAAGCCGGGCGTGACATACATGTTTGTGGTGCACGGCGGGAAGGTTCAGTTCGGCCTCCTGCGCACGTCCGCAGGAGCTTTTTTCCCTCTATATATATACATATATATATATATATATATACATGTATACATGTGTCTGTGTATGTCTCTCTCTCTGTATATATATATATATATATGTACAGCCATATTCGAGCGCCTACGGGGGCCGCTCTGCATCCTGCTTGGCAGACTCCCGCCACGCCTCCCTGGCCCCCCCGCCTGACTTCCGTGCGTCCTTCCCCCGTCATGCCTCCCCTCTGCTTCCCTGTGCCCCCTCCCCCCCTGTTCCTGCGCCTCGACCTCTTCCCTGCTCTCCTGCCAATGCCCCCCCTTGTCCTTCCCTTCTCCACATCCCTCCCCCTTTCTAGGGGGCCACATGCGAACCCTACCCCTACCCCTCACGATTTCTGAGGGGGGGCTGGGGTTCACTTCGCTCGGGGGCTCCCGAACGAAGTGAACCCCACCGTCCCCCTCCGAAGTCGTGGGGGGTAGGGGTAGGGCTTGCAGGTGGCCCCCTACTTTCTCCTCCCTCTTCTTCCCTTCTCCACTTCCCTCCCCAGTCCTGGGCCCAGCTCCTCCCAGGCCTCCTCCTCCTCCTCCTCCTTCTCCTCCTCCTCCTCCTCCTCCCCCTCCTCCTCTCCTCCCCTCGCCCCTCCTCCCCTCGCCCCCCCCTCCCCTCCCCCTCTTCCTCCTCCTCCTCCTCGTCCTCCTCCTCCTCCTCTTCCTCCTCCTCTTCCTCCTCCTCCTCCTCCTCCTTGCCCCCTATTATTTTTCCGTGTCCCGCAGGAGCAAGCCAGCGGCCCTGGCTTGGGATTACTCGTCCTCTGGGAGGGCGTCTCCCACAGCCTGGACGCCAGGCGAGCCCGCGAGACCCCCTCCTCGCCCAGCCATCGCTTCACTTGGAGGAGGCGAGGGGAGAGGCAGAGGATGGAGAGGACGGGGAGAAGAAGAACCAGGAGGAGGAGGATGCGGAGGAGAAGGAGGAGAGACAGAGGATGGGGATGATGGGCAGGAGAAGGACCAGGAGGAGGAGGAGGAGGAGGAGGATGGGGAGGAGAAGGACCAGAAAGAGGAGGATGCGGAGGAGGAGGAGGAGGAGGAGGAGGAGGAGGAGGAGGAGGACCCGGCGTTGCATTTGTTTCGCAACGGGCGTTTTCGCTCCATTTTGGAGCCCCGGGACCCTCGCAGATCGATCGGGCTCGAAAAATGACGCAGAAAGATGGGGTCCCGGACTCTAGTCGTGATTTTGTTGCCATGCTGCATGTTTTGCAACGGTCGGATCTCAGGAAAGTAGGAGGAGACAGCCCCCCTTCTGCGTCGTGACCCAGTCGTTGCCATTGTCGCGGGGCCTCCTCGTCGCTACGGCTCTGGACTCCGCTGAAAAAGATGGCTCGGATGTCGTCCTGGAGAAGTCCAGGACGACGTCGACGGCTGCCCGACTAGAGGCACAGTTCCGTCTCGGCCTCCTCGTCCTGCTGCTGCGCAGCCATTTTGCATCAAGCCGTTTTGGTTCAAGAGCCACATCCAGCGAGGCTGTCAACATCGAAGCCTCGTGGAGTAGGCATGCCGCTTGGTCCACCTTGCGCTGCTGATGTCGTTAGTGCTCCGCGTCAATACAGGCGGCAACTGCGGACATCACGAGCCATCAGCCCGCGGCAGCCATGGGAGGTGGAGTTTGTGATCGCACGTCCGTTTTGACCCCTGACACTACGGCTGCTTCAACTACGGGTTCCGGAACTCTCAGGGGTGGTGGCTGTCGTCACTCAAGGACGGGCAGCATGCCTTCTGCTTCTTCGGGTCGTGGCGGCTTGCGCAGCGACCGCTGCCACCATCAGCCTCTCCATAAGGAGTACGCTAAGTTCGCGTCGTGTCGACCGGCGGCGACCCCGCCGCCGACGTTGAACGTTGAATATGCCGCCGGCGTCCCAGAATCGGTCGATGATGAACGATCCGACGTTTCGGAAACCGCCGACCGTGCAGGATTGGGATGCTGCTTTGTGAGGGCGCGCGGAAACGCAGCGGCCAGAGGGGGGTCGAGAGTCAGCTGGTGGACTGCGGGAGGAGATGGGCCTGGGCGAAGTCGGGCGTGCCCATCTACAGGAGGAGTAGTCAGAGATGGTAGCAAAAATCTAGTGGGAAGGAATTTTGAGTATTTCTAGCACGTGTTGATGTTTTTTTGGGCCATCCTTCATCCTGCGTCCAGAGTCCGCCTGCGGGAGGACGCGCCCGACCTATAGGCCAGGGGCTGGAGCTCCCCGACCCGGTCGAGCCTTGCAGGCGCGCGCGCCGGTGCGGCGGCCCCGAGCACGCGCGCGCGCAGGGTCGGGGGTGGCGGCGCCGCCCCGCGGACGATAGTGCCCCCCCCCCCGGCTGCCCATGCCGAAGCCGAGCGAGACCCGGCAGAGCGGGCGACGACGGGCCGCGGCGCCAACGGCACGCGCGCGAGCGCGTGGGGGCGGCGCTCCTGGCCGCGGCATGCCGCCGCCACGTCCAGGCAACCGACGGCGCTTCAGGCAGATGGCGAGGCACCTGAGCACCAGGGGCCAGGGGGCGTGAGGGCGAGGCTGGAGACGGACATGACCCAAGCGTCGCCGCGACTGCAGGGCGGACTCAGACTGGGCTGACAACGGCGAGGGCAGGATTTCGGTCCGCGGCGGCGTGCTGAAGCGCAGCGGCTGCGCGGCGTTGTCGCGGGCGCGGCGCCGGGGTTGCGCGGCCCTGAGTGTGCCGGAGTGCGGAGAGCGAGCTGTTCGCAGCGGGCTCGGAGGCGGCCCATGCGCCCGGCCTGGCAGCGACGATGCGTGAATGGGTTGGCAGGGCCACGCTCGCGTTGGCCAGCGATGTGCGCAGTGAAGGAGCGAGGCCCAGGCCACACGAAGCGCGTCGAGAGGGGTTTCTGGCCCTGCAGCAGCGGAGGGCGGAAGAGGCTGGGGACCAGGGCAGCGCGCGCCGACGACGACGAGGCGGCCGTGCTCGCCAGGCCCACGCCCGGGGAGAAGCCTTCCGCCCTCCCCGGCGCAGGTGGGCCCCATGGATGCGTGGCAGGCCCCCTCCGCCTGCGCCCGCCGCCGGCGGAGGAGGCGGCGCGTTCTGCCGCCGGCGGCTTCGGGGGGCAGGGCAGGGGCTGCAGAAACAGGAGCGACGCAGGGCTCGGTTTCGGGCAGCTCCAGGCAGCTCCAGGATCTAGGAGCGCGCCTCGCGAGGCCCTGGCCCGAGCAGGACCTGGCGGCCCCGGGGGCGCCCCCAGGCGGACGGCGGAGCGGGGGGGCTGAGGTGCGTCCCAGGCGGAGGGGCGCGGGGCCTCGCGCGAGCCCGACGACGCGAGCACAAGAGCTGCCATCTAGCAGCACCTACTTTCGCCCAGCCCGAGCTGCTCCGCCGCCGCCGCCGGCGACGGGTCTCCCCGCGCCGCTGGGAGACCTCGAGGGCGCCGCGGCCGCTGCGGGGCAGGGAGGCCGGTGGTCTCGCGAGGAGGTCGCGACAACCCCTCGCAGGCCTTGGCGCGCGGCAGCTGCAGCGCGCGGGGGCGCGCGAGGCGGGGCGAGACGGGGACCAGGGGGGGGGCGGGGGGGGGCGCTGCGTGCCGCGCGCAGCTGGTGTCGGTCCCGCCGTTGGGCGCATGTCCCCGATGGTCTTTACTGGCGCCACTGGCGCTGGCAGGCGCCGGAGGGAGCGGCCGTGCAAACTGAAGGGGAAAAAACACACAGACACAATTCATCGTCGATTCCCCCGAAAATATAGGAAAATATTGGAAGCGGGGGGGAAGACAAAACCCAGAAAATATAGGAAAATATGGGGAATATTTTTATTTGTGCGTATTTATGTGTGTGTCCAGGGGCCCCTTTGTTGACTACGCCCTTTTCGTCCGGCTCGGTGCTCGGAGATCGAGGGCGCGCGCCTCCAATTGCGGCTCAGACGCGGCGTCGCCGCCGCGCGCGGCAGGCCTTCAACAGTTGCGCCCCCCCCCAGTGGAGCGGGCGCTTCTGCCGCTCGCCAATATCCTATCGGGGCCAGGGCCGCACGCGGGTGAGCTGCGCGCCGGAGTTGTCATGGCGTCTGCGCTTCGGCTTGGTCTAAAGGGGCCCCAGGACACACAAATAAACACGCACAAATAAAACGATCCCCCATTGTTTCATATATTTTCTGGGTTTTTGTCTTCCCCCCACTTCCCATATTTTCTCTGGGGAATCGACGATTAATTGTTTTGCGCTGGGAAGCCTAACAGGAGCTGCGCCGTGCACGACGGGCTCAAATCTTGTTTTCGCTGCAGCGTCGTGCATGACCTCTACAGGCTTACGCCACATCCGCCGACCCCTTTTTTATGTCGGAGCGCTCGACCCACTCGCGACCCACTCGCGAGGCACCCGCGACCCCCCCGCGACCCTCCCGCGACCAACCGCGACCCTCCCGCAGCCCTCCCGCGACCCACCCGCGACCCAACCCGCGACCCACCCACATAGTTTTAAAAGAAAATCGGCGCCTGCGGCGCGCTTCTTCAGAGCCTCGCAGACTGCCGACGCCCTCGCAGCCCCCTCACTCTCACCCGCAACCGCGGGGTGCTACACGTACATCTTTGGAGCAAGCTGCTCGTTGCAAGCTACCCGGTGCAAGATCCGTGATGCAAGCCACGTGGCGCAGGCTCTGCAACCACGTGGTGCGATGCGAGGCGATGCGATGCGCCCAGGCAGGTGGCGCCCACGGGCGGCCACGAGCGGGCACCCACGGAAACCCTGGCACGCCCACCAAGCGCCCGTGGGCGCCAGCGAGGCGCCCACGGGCGGCCACCAACCCGGCACCCGCACACCAGCGGCCATCGCCCGCGCACCCGGCAGAGCCCCGGCACACCCATCGAATGCTACCAGCCCCTTGGGGCGTCAGTGGTGGAGAGGCGTTTCCTCCTCCAGCCCCCTTTCTTCCCCTTCGGGGGGGGGGTCTATCGTGGAATGCTCCCTCCTCCAGGCGACCAGCAGCCGACCCTGACCAGGGAGCCCCCACCACCCTGGCATCCCTTGCAAAAAAGAAAGCACGACATGATGCGTGTTGTCTCCAAATCTGGCGCACGTGCGGGCGCCCCGCGACCTTTTTGCATGGGTTCTTGGAAGCGACGGCGGGCGTGCCAGCATATGGCTTGCTGTGCGCAGGCCAACCACCCCTGTCAAAAAACAGTACGAATATTCACTTGGGCTCCGAGTCTGGATCGTGCGTCGGGCCTTCTTTTCTCACTCACAGCTTTCATTTGTTTGTTTCACGACGCCTCAAGGTGTTACAATTTGTCCATCGGTGCCTGTGCTTTGCGCTCCCTGGAAGAGCCGCCTTTCTCACATAATGCTCGGCACTTCGCTTCAGGGGAATTCAAGATCCTGAACTCCTTGGGGCCAGGGCCCCAGGCACCTGGGGTCCCTACTGGTTCCCCGTAGCTGGCGCACCTGGCGCGGCTGGAGCACGTGGCACAGTTGGCGCATGTGGAGCATATGCCGCACCTGGCACGCTTGGGCCTCCAGGGTGCCTGCTGCACCTGCAACCCGTTGCGCGCATGGCATGTGTGGTGTTTCCAGGTGATCCGATGGGGAGGGCGGGTGGGAGTGGGCTAGACGGCCACTATCTAGGAGGGTAGCTTGACCCATCCACCCACCCCTTCCCCCTGGGTCTGGACGGGGGGGTTCGCGAGGCGTTGGAGCGTCCAATATTGCCTCGGCGAAAAGTTACAATACAGTGATTTTATTTTGGTCTGGGGCCCATTTTGGCCTCCGGGGGGGGGTTGGCGCTGATTGAAACCCCCTCTCTTTGATCGATCTCCTCCAAGATGGCCCGAATATGACCCCCCAGGCTCCCAAGAGTGCCCCAAGATGGCCCCAAGTGGCTCCGTAGCCATTTTGGCTCAAGCTTTTTTTGGCTCGAGCTGTTCCGCCCAAGCGAGGCTGCCTCTCTCAAACGTCATCGACTCTTGCAGCTTCAATGGCAGCCTTGCGACTCCCGTTCCTGCTTATCTGCCTCGCATGGCGACGTTGCGACTCCCATGTTAACATGGCTCGTCCCGCTTGGTGTCCAGAGCCATGGGAGCAGTCTCAGTGTTTGGGTACTTCTGGCGCGCTCGCGGGCGGCGAGGAGGCCGAATACAATCAAACCAGCGAGCGGGTCAAGTGGAAGGATGGCATGGCGGGACACACGCACTACACCATCGACCCCCAGAAGACTGCCCTCTTTGTCATTGATCCTCAGGAGGTCTACGCGAAGTGCCCGACATCGGGCGCTCCCTTTACGGTGCCAGATCTCATCGCTGGCCCAGGTTCCAAGGATTTCGACGGTCACAGCCCGCTCTGTTGTGAGGGCTTTTACGCTGCTGTGGGGAACGCCAGCAGGTTGGCGAAGAGGGCTCGGGAGTCGAATCTGCCTGTGTTTGTCATGGGCCATATATACCGCGACTTTGATGGCGATGGTCAGGTGGATAATTGTGGGCGCCTTTGCGATTTCGACGTATTGGGCTGGACTGGCTGGCCAATGGCTTGGAACTTATGGAACGAAGCCCTTCCCTGGCACAGCCTCGTATATGGCAGTGACGGCCGTGAGGGAGACGATGGGGTTGGTTTTTTCGCGGATTTCTCGAACGATTTCTACGCTGAGAAGACAACGTACAGTGCCATGACAAGGATTGTGGTCAAAAAGCTGAAGCAGCTCGGCGTGGACACCATCATCATTACCGGCTTCATGACCCAGTATTGCAGCGTCACGACAGCTCGCCATGCCCACGACCTCGGCTTCCGCGTCATCTACGTTTCGGACGCTTGTGATGGTCCCATTCTTGCGCAACTCCTCAGCGGAGTGGACGAGAATGCCATCGTCCCCTTCCATCTGGGCATCGCCGTCGTGGACGTGACCACGACCGAGGAGCTGCTTGACCTGCTTCCCGGGGGCACTCGGGGGGGCAAGGACGAGTTATGAGCAGTGCGACATTGGAGATCGTTGTGCCCTTATCCTGCTCTTGATTCTGGTCCACTGGGGCTGTGCCCTATAGAGCCTCGAAAAAAAAGGTGGCCCCAAGAGGCGCCCAGGAGGCCCCAAGAAGCCTCCAAAGGGTCCCGAAGAGAATTCCAAGAGACCCCAAGAGGCTCCCCCGAAGCACCCAAGTACGCTTCAAGAGGCCGCAACAAGCTGTCAAGAGACATCCGAAGAGACTCCGAGAAGCATCCAAGAGGCCTCTGGCCTTTCTGCTCGCCCTCCTCCTCCTCCTCCTCCTCCTCATCCTCCTTCTCCTCTTCCTCATCAACCTGTTCCTCCTCCCTCCTCCCCCTCCTCCTCTCCCTCCTCCTCCGATTCCTCCATCCTCCCCTTCTTGGGGTATAACTTCTTACCCAACCCTTTGTTGCACTGCGCGTTCTTCCACATCCCTGATCAAGGCCACTCGTCTGGACATCGTTTCTGGATGGGCGGGTGGTGTTACTTTTTTTTACAGCCGCGGGCGGAAGCGCCAGCGGCGGCGAGTGCGGGTGGTGTTACGCGAAGCGTCTAGAACTACTTCGGTAGACACGGAAGATCCCTTAAGTGCAAACACAGCTTGGGGACATGATTAGGCGCTTATACCACCGCTCCTACTCTGATTAATTGTCCTACGCGTGCTTGTTTTTGCATACCTACCACTAATCCTGCAGGCCCCTCTTTTTGCACCTAGGTATGTTCGTGCTCCCATGATTCATACTACTCGAGTGCGCAGTTGTACACGTACTGGTAGTCGGAGGAATTGCCAACACCTTGAGTTCCACACGAGAGCCACTCCACCTCACGGCGGTCGTACCGATTAGAAATTTGCTCCTGCTACCATCGGCCACCGTGGCCAAGGCCCGTGCGGCCGTGCCCGGTAAGGGAAGCACGGACTTGCCTTGGAATCGCGCAGCCGTGTTTGGGTCGCACACCAAACTGTTCGCACGGCTTGCGCGCTCCCCTGGGAGCGCCTGGCCATGTTCTGACCGTGCCAGGACAGCGCGAGTGGA